AAAATACAAACCCGAATTCGAATTCACTCAGGTGTCCTAATTCATTTCAATAGCGGCATCCGATCAACCTTGCATTGGTAATAGCATTTCGTGGCATAAGTGAAGTGAGTTTCGAAATGACAGAGGAATAGAATATGAGACACGTATATTCAATCAATAGGATTTCTTCACTAATTGACGTGACTTCGGACACATGAGTTAATAAGAATACTGGGTCTGCATTTCCACAGAATCACTCTGCTGATCCCTTAAAACCAAAAGCGTGATAACTGTGAAGACGCATCAGGAATCATAATTTTTTGGATATTCCAAGCCGCGCAACAGTCTGAATAAATCCTGCTACAGTAAACGGTTTCGCAAAATTTTCGTGCACAAATTGAACCTTATTTCGCGGTGAGCCCTAACAGTTCTTTCCGGCCGGGGCGTTTATTAATACTTCCGGCCCATTCGTGACAGTTCGTTGGAATCCCAAAAGTTTTTGCTCCGGTTACATCCAACAAGAATTCCAGTGCGTGTCCACTATGTGCCAATTACTCTAATGGAATAATACGGAACTTGCATGTTTTTTTTCCATTGTGTCTTAAGATGCTATAAAATATTTTAACGATCTACCGAGATATGAAAGTTTAAAATTTCATTAGACAAAAATAGATGTCCGCTAAAGCAAGACTGCTCGACCACAGCCGCAGCCGCACAAAAGAATTTTAAGAGGTCCTTTCAACTAAATAAGCTGTAATTATAATCATATTAGTACTCATATTTGTCACAGAAAATAATCACAAAATTATCCCTACAAATCACAATTCTTACCTGTGTAATTATAAAATTTTTACAGAAAAAATTTAAAATACGGCAAAGTGCAAAATAATTAAAGAGGACGCTTTAATTATCCTCTTTGGAAACAAGAATGAAATTTTAACATAACAAAATAGTTAAAACAAATTGACTCATGTGTAAAATTAAAAAAAAAAAAAAAAATATTCTGAACTTAATTATGACATTAAGCTGCTCGACTGTAAATCCAGTAAGAGTAGAGATAATCTTATTAAATAGATTTTAAAGTGTAGACTCCGGGTCGTTAGATATAGAATCTATTCTATAAAATAATGAATAATCTATTCAAATCATCATCATGTATATCTGTCTAGAGTGATTACTAATACCGATCATACTAAATGGCTACAGTGGTTTACTTTAATCAATATCTAATATAAATAAAACTGATGGTAACCAGACAATAGCAAAATCAGGTTATTCCAATATTGTCAATTGATTTTAATTCCTAATTAGTCGCTAGTTAAGTTTAAGATCGAATGCGGAATATTCCTATGGTGACTCGATAAGCTGCTGTGTGTACAAGCAGAAATTTAATATAGAAAGAAGGCTTTAATACGGGTCAAGAAATCCTTGATGTTTGGATCAGAGCAAACTTGAAATGGAATTTTGCCTCTGAAGTTGTATTCATTGTCAAGAGCGAAACATTCTCATAATATAGTTACCCTTTTATTCACTGAACGATTGGGCAAAGCTTCAGGTAGCACAATAGAATGGCATTTGTTTATTGGTGGCGTAATACACGCAGATAAATGAATATTAAACAAAACCAAAAGTATTTGAAATTATTATGTCGTTTCTTAATAAAATACGTGCAAGGAGGACTTTGGTCTACGTCATCGGTTCGTAATCAGTTCAGGTTCGATTAATCATACAAATTAAAGTAATATCTAACGAAGAAACTCGTCGTCTGTTACTCGTTTTTGCCGCTCTGGTCTACTCAGGGCCCTGTTTCTGCCAAATAAATTCGCATTGAAGGTCGGTGTTTATCACTAGTGTCACACTCTATACGATCCCAGAGGCATTATCATCTAATTGATACAATGTAATGTTTGGATTGTGTGACCCTGGCCTGAACAATTCACACAAAACTATGTTAATTAGTTTTAACTGTCAACAACAATGTTCGGAAGGGAAGTGTACATACAACTCGACATCCTACTGATATTAAATATTTGTACCGATCAATAAAAACTTTTACGCGCTTATTTATAATCATTATATTTTTCTTCATTTCAAAAAGGAGTTTAACAATTCGACTGAATGTTTTATTCTGTAGATACCGCGACAGGGCGGAGAATAAGGGGCAGCAAAATTGAGATCGCCGGGAATCGGGTGCAGTCCCTAATTTTTTCTCCTTAGATATCGAAAGTACACACACACGGTAACACATTACTTCTCACAAAATTTAGGACATGTTAAGGCTTTGAAATCATGAAAGGCATCAAATGAACTGTTGATTGTACCCAGTAGCTATTAAAATATAATATTGCTTATGTACATCACTTTTGTTTGATAAAATGAGTTACGAAAATTATATTACATTAAATGATTAAATGATAGGTACCACCATACTATATAATTTCTACATTCTCATTTGCTAATAAAGTAATCAATACTGTAATAGTAACACAGCACAATTCTATGAGTAAAATTGTGCAATAAAAAATCCATAATCATGACTCAGAAAGAGTGTGCTTAGTAATAAGCCACAGAACCTTGAAGAACATTTTTTATCATTATTAGAGCAGTGACATAGGGTTTCTTTTCAGAAAAATATATTATTTCTGAGAAAATGTTTTTAAAAGTACACAAGTAAATTTATAGAAAGAGTACAAAATAAGGTTAAACTAAATTAAGTAATATAAATGTAAACAAAATAATAATTGAATCATTATCCACTTTAGGGCATAAGAATATCAGAATATCAATGATCATATCATATGCTTCTGAATACACATGGGACTATTTATTTACTATTTACATGGATTTAACAATATGCTATTGATTGATCAACTTATAAATTAAAATAGTAGGTACAGCCTCAAAACACACAGCACCACTTTATACGATACTTATAGTAACAATTGTTGGCAGCCCTAAACAATGGTGAACTGACTATTACCTGAATAGTGAAATCCTGAAAACTGAATAAATTATTATTAGTTAAATTTTATATCATAATATAAATAACCATAATTTACAGACTAATATAATCATTCTAATGCTAAATTGAAAATAAAAACTAAAATTCTAATTCATATCTATTTTTAGGTTGAATCAATGAATTATTATTTTAATGTTAAATTTCCATAATCTAATATAAATAAGCCTTCTTGAATAAAGATATTTTCATTTAAATTCATTTCAATGTATTTAAGGTTTAAAATTGAGTGCAGAAATTTGTCAATTTAATACAGTGTGACATGCTGTTGACTGTACATACAGTTAACTAATTAATGTAATACAAAGAGAAAGATATATTGAAAATGTCAGTGCAATAAATGTATGATTTAGAGATTGAAGTATCATTATTTTAACCTTTTTAAAACGGTGATATTTTTTTATATTGAGTTATATTACACAGTATGGTATCAGTAGAATTCATAAAACTTAAAACTGAAAACAAATGTCTTTTATCAAGTAGTTTTTAACAGTCAAAATAAAATTGGTAGTTGTTTTTTCATAATTATAGAGAGAAAAAATCTATTATCAAAGACAGTAGCTTTCATGTTATACAATTTAAAAGGAAGTTTAAGAATTTGGTAATTCATAACCACATACTTACTCAATATAATAGTATATTGCTGTGTATATCTGTGCTTTATTTCTCAATCTGTAATTTATGCTTATTATTGACATTTGAAACATGTCACAAAGTGCAATAGGGCAACTTACATTAGAAATAGGAAGGTCAAATGACAAAATACATTCTAAAACTTGCCATAGCTTACAATGATAAAGAAACTTATGCTATTATATGATGATAATATTACAATATTTTATTTATGAAATATCAATATCTCAATTTATTATTTTCTATTTGATAAATATTACATTCACAATGCTATACTGAAAAATATTAATGAAAAATACTTTAAAAATCCATTTGGTCCTGGTCCCTGGCACCCTGAGATGCCAGTTTATATTCATACTTTTGAAATTGATAATGGATGTTATAAGATTATGTCATAGATAGATTAGAATAGAACTAATTAAATTTGTTTTGTATAATAACTCTTTAATAAATTTAATTCTATATAACCCCATTTTACTAATATCATTCCAACAGATTTTTTTTTGACTAGGCTCATATACACAATTGTTTTATATACAACACTGATATCTTATATTTTGTTTGTGTAAATAATTGGGTGAATAATAAATTAATGATTTTTTGATAGCAAATATACTTGATTATCTTTTAAACCACTGTGAATCATGCATTAAGTATAAGCCAAGAGCAAGTACAATTACCTTATCACATTGAAACAACACGATGATAACATACTAGTATAAGTCAAGATATCACATTAATTGTCAAGAATTTCTGATAACTAACGTATGATGGTATCATGAAATGGACTGGGTGGTTTTATTAGTCACATACACTATCGTTATTGGCTTGGCCCCTAAGGGTTATACGCCACCCCTATTCCGCGAAAACATTGCCGTCATATTGTCGCCATAGATTCAAACGAGGCATGGTTTAATAAATTAGCTGACTGTAAATATTCAAGGCCGTCGTACAATAGTTTAAACTAAATATAAATAACACAATACAGACAAAATAACCGACGTGTGTGGTACCCCCTGGTCTTCCAAATAAAAATCGATAACCACGATAAACAATAAAAAACTAACAGAAGGATGATAGGACACTGCAGAAGCAGCTTGTTTGTATTGTTTTCTTTTGCGATGTCATTCATAAAACACCGTAATTACGATTGTAATCAACTAATCGATGGAGCATGACGTGTGCACTCCCGCCTATGTTTACGTTATTATATAGCTCGAAAAAACACGCTGAAGAACTAAACAGATGCTCAATGAGGCAGTAAATATTCTTGGCATAAAAATAGATCGACGCGTGCATAAACGTTTGAGTAATTATTTATTTGTTTTGCTAACGAAAGCTCTGGTACGATGAACTCAAAGGTACATACCTCATTTTGACGATAATATCCTTTGTCGAGACAAATCCGTATGCACTATTGCACAGCACGAAACAATTGTTCACTTATAAACTGCATATTTTCACAGACACAAATGGACATTTCCGTATTATCGGCTCGCTAAAACGCCTGGAACACTTCTTCGGGTAGCCATTTTTGTCAAAAATCACTTTTACGTCCAGTTTCCCGATTTTGAAAGGATGAGCGAGAGGGAGGACGCTAGAACCGCATACAGAAACGAGTGAAATGAAAATAAATGGATCATTGAACCGGGGAAGCCGGGATCGTCACAACGACGGTCCGAAGTATGCTCGCTGAGTTTAACACCGACCGGTACATAAAATGGGTGTGTAATGTACCCTCAAAGCTACGCAAAATATGATTCATAAGCGCGTTTCGGAACTTATCTCGTAATTTTTGCTCCTTTTCTGCGTACCTTTTTTATTTAGTCGAATTATAAGCCTTTCTATAACCAATATCTGATACGACTATTGCCATCTATTGAAGATTTTCAGTAACAATATTCAACACAGTGACATTATCACAAGTTAATTGCCATTACAAAAATTAAAATTCATTTTGTCCAAAATTCATCCGAAATTGAAACCGGGAACCAATTGACAATAACTATGAAAATGACTATAACTTGGCGATTTATATTAATAGAGAACAGAAGGAAAAAGTGTACGTACTTCGCGTGCCGAAACGACGTCTAGACAGCTTCATTGCTCGCCGCGAGGCTCAGTCCACTTTCGATCGCAATCGGTGTTGGACGAAATTTAAAATGATGCGTTGTTCGATAATTACCTGCTCAAACACCACCAATATGGTTGGATCTTATAGTCGAGGTATTTCCTTCCATCGGTAAGTAACTATTTGCCTTGATATATCTATTTTGAATTAAAAATCATTAGTTTTGTTGCTCCGTATTATTTTTATCAAAACGGTCATGTGTCCAGTAATAGCTTTCCATTGCGGCTTTAATTTGACAGTCCAAATTTGCTGTGCTTGTAAAACCATCGATGTATAATTCAAGGTCAATTTGTTGGAGGACAAATTATCATTTTTTCTGTCAAAAATGGAGAATAGTGCTGTACAATGCGATTTTTTTACCCGATTAAAAAAATATCGTTTTTGAAAGCAGAAGAAAGGATAATTAATTTTATATTGAATTATACTGTAATTTTTGTTTTAGTTTTCCGTATGATCCTAATATTAAAAATAAATGGATTGAAGCAACAGGACTCTAAGGCAAATAGTAGGTATACTTACTGGACATGGAAACTTTAACAAACACCTATATAACATGGGTTATTCTGACAGTCCTCTGAGCAGGGCGTGCATGGAGACTGAGGAGATTGTCTCCTCAGTCTCCATTCCAGTATCACATAAGCGCTTGTGCACTCATGTGATACTGGAATGCAGGAGCCTATTAAGACAAAAGGACTACATATCTATGAAGCCCAAGGATACTAGTGGAAGCATGCGGCAGAGTTCGAGATCTTACGGGCTTCCTGGAGGAGCTGGGGTGGCAGGACTAAAGCAACCCCGTGTCATGCAAAATAGGCACTGAGTATCGAGTTGCAGAAAAGCCCGCCGTGAAACATAACATAACAACACAGGACGTAAAAATGTGTAGCGTGTCGGGAGGGGGTAGCGGCTACTACAAAGTGTTTGCCCACAGAAAAATGCCGATTTCTATTCTATCGCATAAAATCTTTTTTGCGCCGATTCACTAAATTACATTCGTGAGTTCGTGACATATACATAATATTTAAGCAAAATGGTAGTCTGTCTATAAAGTCATGAAAAAAATTGAGGGCGCTGCGATCGTGCACGTAGCAACCCTGTGTAGTGAGACAAATGATTTTGATAGTAGGATTTTTTTTTTACTTTTATTACCCCAGAAAAGGTAAAGAAAGGCGTATAATTCGTAGACAATGAGTTTATTCTACATTGAAGATTACAATATAGTAATCGTAATTTTTGATAAATCTTTTTTTTTTATAATTGCCAAGTTGTTTTCTCGTTTTACTGCAATGTGTGCTTGTGTTCGATTAAAGCCTGTTACTTTGACACTCCTTGTAAGAAAACCCAATATATTTCAGAATTTAACGCAGAACTTCTAGGCTACAATTAAAATCCAGATCGGTTTTGGCAATCCACTGATGTTTTCTTCATGTAGGTACCCCTTTTTTTCACAGAGTAAAAGAACTGAATCTTTTGTCGAAGTGCACAAATGTTGCAGTTAACCATTTATTTCTTAGGACGACTATCTATGTTTCCCAGGGGTTTCAAATATGCCACCATTTTTATAACCTTCATCTACAATACGTATCACTATATTCTCTGATTTTCCTGAAAGTAAGTTTTAAAAATGTAATACCTATAGGTATTTGGCAAAAAGAATGGAATCGCCACAATGATCAAATTAATGCTATAATTTTAGTAATATAAAGCACAAACATTTTATTGGCGTACGTAGGTAAAAATCGTACATTCCTAACAGGTATATTTTTTATTCAGATTAAAATCAATGATAAATTTGATTATCCAAAAGTATTGAAAGTTCGGGCCGCACTACAATATAGCCTTCTAACATTTTCAATCTAACCTATAAATGCATAATGTAATCAATACTTCTTTTAGACTTAAATTCATATATTTAGTAAATTTGAAACTTCTGGTAACCAAAACTCAATCAGTAACACGATTACATACCAGCCATAACTGCCGTTCGAGCTTTAACATCCTACAAATATGATAAAATGTGTCCAGCTTCTTGTTCCAATAAACATCACTGAAAAACTTTATAAATAATATCCTGAGCTTCACTCTGATTAATTCTCTTCATTTTTAACACTTTTCGACGGAGTTTAGAAGAAGTAGCTTCAGTTTAATCAAAACAAATCAAAAATGCAGAAAATCGAGCTAAAAAATCAAGTTGTTGACAGTCGATGTACTTTGATTCAGTGTTGTCATACTTGTGTCTAATGTTAGTTCCTCAAACATTCTTTTCATGACTTTATAGATAGACTGTACACGTTGGTCTCCGTCGATCGATATCGTTTTTTCAATCGATAAGAATCGGTATGCCGTTTCAAATACAACATGTATTCGATGCAAGTGAAATTATGTCTTCCATCACTAAATTAAGATCGTGACGTCATGATACCTACACAAAATGTGGCACGCTCGGTCTCCATATAAATCGACGAACATTTTCCTTCTAACTAGTAAAAAAACAAGTCATGTTGAATATAATTTTGAATGCAGTATGCTTTATTGATATTTTAAAAATAATTCTTATGAATTTTCTTTAAGAGTAAAATATTCTGAAAAAATTTACACGTTATGTAATGTCCGTATAAATAATAACGTAATAAATGTATGTCATAAATCAGTAATCCCTTATTTAAATGTCATCAAATTTTCCACACAAATTAGGAAATTACTAAAATATGTAAACAACATTTTGTTTTATGATATGACATTGTTCTAGGCTCTAACGAAATGATGTTTATTATTTTTAAGGTATGAGACTATTATTTTTTTATTATTTTTAAATTGCATCGTACCAATGAAGGGCAATGTAATTCGACCGATTAATTGGAAATCCGTGATCAAATTTTTTATTTAGCTTAGCGGGATATGGCAGGTTTTTGCTCTCTTCCCTTCTCTTATGTGTATCATTGTTTAGTGGGTTTGACCTGCGATTGCGAAGATTAAGCTACGTTCGCAAAGACCAGTAATGGGATGAGTGATATTTTTTTTTGTAATTGTTTCAGCGTGGCGGAGCAGGATATTGCTGTCCATTCTTCTCTTGTTGTATGTGGCACATGGCACTTACATGGTGCGTGGCTCAAAAGGCTTTTTTACATGTTATTAAGCCAGTGCTTTGTAACATGTAAAAAAGTTAGTCACCGATCCAATTCGCAGATCAAATGAGCTTATCACCCGGCAATGCCCAGTTAGCCCATGTGAAAGTCCTAACGCGGATTTGTGGTGCTAAAGCACAGCTATTCTTAATCGATGAAATCAATCGACCCAGTAATACGTACTGGGACAACCCTAGTCCGAAATCGCTCCGAAAAAAATACAAACAAACACTCGCAATTCTCCATATAAATTATATTGGCGCGCGATTCGCGTACGAAAAGACTGTGTCTAAAATAAATCATCATCATCAACATCACCAGCCCTTTTACGTCCCCACTGCAGGGGCTCAGACTTTCCTTATGGATGGTTAAGAAGGATGGGCCATGACCCTCCACGCTGGGCCAATGCGGATTGGAGGGTATTAACGACTGCAAATGTAGCCGGGACCAACGGCTTAACGTGCCTTCTGAAGCATGGAGTAGCTCGAGATAATAATATTTGGGTCACCCATCCCATGACCGACCTTTGCGAAAGTTGCTTAACGACTACGATCTCGGGCCGCGGCGCTTATCCACCGAGCTACTCAATTAAAGTAAATAATGAAAATATATTCATTGTAACTTAAAGTTTAACAAGATTGTTGTATACGATAACAGATGCAGTAGTTAAAAAACTGGACCAAAAATATATGAAGTCTCAATTAATTAAAATGTAATTGTCACCCTATTAGAAAAGGATAAATAGCCTCTGTACTTAATATCTCGTTCGGCTCACTTTTCAGATGGGAACTGCTCTGTTCTATTATACAGTAGTACTAAGTCCATGGTTCCTATGGACGAAACAAACTACTGTTACTACTACTAAGTAGAGATGGACGTTTAAACAAAAATCACTTAATCAAGCATGTTTTTCAAATTATTCCCTATTTTTCACTTAAAAAGAAAAGTATGCTAATTCTTATTATACATCCCGCTATCTATTAAGTTATGATGTTACTACTAGCTTCAATAAATTTTTCTATGTCGGCATTTTTCTATTGGAGGGCAGCACTTTACATAAATACACTTTATTATATACGAGTAATATCCATCTGTTGTTGGAGTAGGCGCGCGTTATGTTGAAAGTTAATTAAAGTTTTTAATATGTTAACGACTTTAACTAATTTTTTTTAATTAAATTAGTTAAAGCCGTTTTTATAAACGCTTATTAAAAATGGTACAACGTAACAAAGCATAAAAATTTTAAGTCGCTATTTCCACCTCTACTACACAGTCTGTGCAACAGTATGTAGCTTTATTTATGTAGTCTTTGTTGACATTGACAATTTGTTGATAGATCTCAGCATTTCATTTAGGAAAAAGTCAGCCTGTTTTTCTTTTAATAAATAGTTCTTTTTTTGAAAACTCTAAATAATGGTGGGCGCAATGCCTGTTAATTTAATACCAAAATTTTGTAACGGTACCATGGACAGTCATAATGGTACAGAGGATCTCGAGTTTCAAGTTCACATCGGTAGTCGTGTGAAGTGCAATGATGATTTTGGTACTGTGAAATATATTGGTGAAGTGCAGGGATACAAAGGAACCTGGTATGGTGTGGAATGGGATGATCCAGCTAGAGGCAAGCACGATGGTTCAGTGGAAGATGTCCAGTATTTTAAGACTTCAAAACCTGGCGCTGGCTCCTTCATCCGCCCAAACAAGATAGCCCCGTTCAGGACTTGTGCTGATGCTATTCGAAAGTATTACGGTGATCGCGAGGTAATTACAATAATAGTCACCAACAAATACTTTTGATATTGACTTGTAAGGATTATATTACGAATTAGGTCATACACACCCACATTGATGTTTTGTTGTGTTGATTTTCAATTGTGTGGGGTAATACTTTTGCTTTAACGACATTGAATTAATGTACAATGTATTTGAAGGATAAATTATTCTTCAACAAAAAAAAATTACAATCTTTTAAAGTAGCTTTGTAGAGAACCTTTCAATTGGTGATGGAAATAAGCATCACTACTGACTCATAAGAAATGAATGTGACTCATTATTTTAAAAGCAATAACATTCCAGCTTATATTATGCAATATGTTGATTATGACTATATTTGTTATGAATTGTATTAACTAGGTTTGTGTCAGGAGCCTCTCCATAGCTAGCTAAATCAGAAATATATTTTTTATGAGTTACTTATTTTTCAATACTATTGTATAGAGCATAGTAAAAACTTTTGGTTGGTTAGATAACTGCTTAAAAATTTTTGTCTTTTCATCAATATCCTGCTATGTAAAATCATTGGTCTTTTATGCAATCAGACATTATATTGTGGAAGTTCATTTCTATAACTATGAAACTACCATTATCTAGCAACATCTGACAGTATCTGCACAACCTGCTGTGTTTCTGTTTTGTTGATTGTTGTTTCAGCTGTGGATATTATCAGTGCAATACAGTATGATGTAACTTTGATATCACATCTCTTATTTGTCAAACTGTGCACAGGAATATATAAATTAAATTATATCATGTATAATGTATAAATAAATCTTCATGTTTATTAATGTGAAACATGATTTACATAATATTATAGCCTGTCATAATTACCATGTTCATGGCAAATCTATATAAATAAATAAATTTCTAATAGTGAAGAAAATATAGATACTGAATATGATAAAATGTTGCATTCTAGCAATAGACGTTCTGCCAAAGATTGTAGCAATGTTATTATATTGTTGCAGGATGAGACGGTTGCTGCACACAGGAGAACTGTCATCAATGAGTGGAAGAGAGAAATGGGTGCACCATTCATTGAAATGGTCGGATTTGAAAAGATTCACCAAAAACAGTTAGTATTATTTACTACATATATTGTACAGAGAAATTACAGCAGTTGTCGAACCACTTAAAAATTTATATATAACTAGTGGCCGCCAGCGACTTCGTCCGCGTTTTCCATTATTTCTTCGCTCCTAATAGTTGCAGCGTGATGTTATATAGCCTAAGGCCTTCTTCAATAAATGGTCTATTCAACACAAAAATATTTTTTCAATTCGAACCAGTAGTTCCTGTGATTTGTTCTTATTTTGCAGGTTTAAAATTATTATTTGAATTCAGATTAATAACAAGCTGTTACTTTCAATATTTTTCTTTTAAGAAGAGTTCACTAGGGTAAATGACACTTTTCTGAAAACTATTTTAAATGGTTGTATGATACATTGTCAACAAACTGTCAATATATTTCATGAGAATCTGTTCCATTTTTCCGTTTATCCACCCTGAAACAGCCACCCTAAGATATACTCGAAAACGCCTGTACATCTATCTACCCTGAACCTGGGATGGATAGATGGAAATCACTTTTGAATGTTCCGATTTTTTACCCCAAGTACAGTGGAATAAAATTGTCTACTACACAAAAGTTTCTATCGTGTATATATAAAAATAACATTTTCATTAAACAAAATAAATCATTTAATGTTAGGTACCAAATATCTTGAGCTGGGTGTATAGGTTTTTTAAATGACTGTACACAGGCGGGGGAGAAAATCGGAAGTAAAATTATGATGCGGATTCCTGTTATCCACGCGTACATCACTGTTTCGTGTATATCACTGTTTTAACATGACAGCTTCTTATTTACGTGACGTCACATGCTGATAAACAGAACCTGTGATTTGTTGTGACGACCCCCAATTCCTAAAAATGTTACATTTTCTTTATGTTATTTTACTAAAGCTAAACATATTTTGTCTGCAGATTCTAAGAAGTAAACTTTATTCGATTATTGACTAATAGGATCACCATAACACGGAACTTATTTTTAATAACGTGAAATACCCTATTAAAAATTGCATTAGATATGCAATACATAAACCTTCACCGATAGTTTTAGTGGGAAGTCATCTTATCAGTGCTCATTGAATTGTTGTCTTTGGCGTAGTGCAGGGTTAATCCAAGACAGTTACAGTTAATTTACCTTGTGATATACTAAGAATAAGAATATTGTAGAAATAACAAGATATAATAATAATTTTTTATGTGTTGTTTTTCAGAAAATTCGATCGTCTCCTAGAGGTTTGCGTGCACGACCAGAATGTTGCTAAAGCGGGCGACGTGGCCTCGTTGTGCCCAAACGTTCGCAGCATCGACGTGTCCAGGAATCTGTTCTCAAACTGGCGTGAAGTCATACAGCTGGGGGCACAATTGCCGGACCTAAGGGAGTTGGATGTTAGGTATGCACACTTTATGTGGAACCCGTCCAGTCAGTGCATGTAAATATATTATTATATTTATTTAAAACCACTTTTGTGTTATCGAAAATATAATAATACAGTAATATTTGATCAATTTTGCATTAACAATTCTGTACTGGAACTACTACTCTGAGACGGGATTCGCACTGAGTTACCCAGGACCTGACCGGATTGGTGAATTCTTCAAGCACTTGTTACTGTTTCGCCACTGGAGTGTATTTTCATCAATGTTCAGGCAATCTACCCAAATAGCCATAAGAAATATTTTTTACTTTTGAAGAAATATTTTTCAGTTAAGCGTTGTAAATGCAAAATTCAATTGACACCCCAATTACGAGGAAACTATTGTTCAAACGAAAGATTTTTTGTGAACTATTGATAACTTTAATTTCAGCAAGAACCGGATGGCCATAGACATGCCACAGGAAACTCTCACTCAGCTCTCCGTCAACTTTGCAAACCTTGAGAAATTGAATATATCTGTTTGTGATTATGAATGGTCAGACCTGTTAGCATTATCACATCTCTGGCCAAAAGTAAACGAAATCATCGCTGCATACAACAGAATTAAAACTATAACTCCACCAACAATAACTTTGAGAACGTTGACAATATTAAGGCTCGATGGTAACCCTTTGGACTCGTGGTACGAAGTGATGAATCTTGGCAGATTAAAAAATTTGAAAACGCTCAGTTTGAACGACTGTTTCATTGAAGAGATAAGATTCAACGACGACCCGCACTGCAAGATTGACTTTTTTGAAAATTTGGAAGTTTTGTTTTTGAATAGGAACAGAATTAAGGATGTAAGTAAGATGCCGTCTGTTATATATTGTATTTCCGGGCTCAAGTGTTCTTTTGCCATTAGTTGATGCGTTCCCGCCATGTGTGGGCAGTACCTTAACATAACGCATTAAAGTCTATATTTCAAGAGTGTTGCTTGCTCTTTTCTGCTCACACCTATTTTGCCGATGTTAGTACTTTGTAAGGGTAAAATTTGTTTTTTTATTAATAAATAATGACATATTGACAACATTCATCAGTCGATTATGGTCTTAATTTAAAAATGTATTAAGGTTTCTAAATCAATCTGAGAAATCTATCAGCTTTTTAAAAAAGTTTTCTTCAATATTCCGTCGCTGGCCAGACAATAATGTCTTTCATACTGTGTTACAAGTTAAGAATATTCCTTGAAGATAATTCTTAATCAATTTGGTAGATTCTGGTTTCTACGACACAAGCACTGCTATATGTTTAATTAATTATCAATAATATTTATGTTTGCAGTGGCGCTCAATAAGTGAATTGGACAAACTAAAGAATCTGAAGAAATTGTACTTCTTAAAAAATCCCGTACAGGACACCGAGGACTACGACACTGGATCACAACTCATTATAGCTAAAATCGGAACATTGCAAGTAAGTTATTGTATTTTGATAATATATTATTAGATATTGCACAATATAATGTTTCTGTAGTGAAAAATAAATCTAGCTAGACTCTGCATCAAAAATTAAAATTTATATTGAAATAAATATTCAATTCTAACTCGAGTCGTAAGATCACATGGTTATTTTATTGTGATAAAATTAGACGTTTGTAATGTTTCTTTGTCTGTGTATCACGTGACCTGAAACACGATCCGCCATGGTGTGACGTCGTATGGGCAGTAACATTAATGTATCGTGTGAGATTAATGTAAACAACTGCATATTTATTATAAAATAGGTTCTTAAAGGGTGCTGTTTTTACCTGATTAATATCTTTTAATTTTGTAGTAAGACCGTCAGAATGCATTCCCAAGTAACACACAAGCATGGTAATTGTACACATTGAAAGTATTTTACAGTTTAAGATGAATATTCTTTGTATAAAATAATATTCAAGTGCTTGATAAATTTTGTATTGTATGTTCTCACCTTTTTTGTGCTTGATAACCGTCTTAGTATAAATATTATACACCATTTTTTAAGCATTATACATTCAAAGCGATTTAAAGCTGAAAAACAACTCCTTTGACTACGTTTTTCTATTATTAAGACATTACTGAGAGAGTGTAGCTTGAAATAGCTTATTGCTGAATAGAGTATAACCGACTTAATTTTGCTAAATAATTCTATTATAGAAAAGTTATTCAAGTTCTTTTTGTGCACTTGTGTTTAGCTTTAAAAACAAAAAATCTTTGATAATTAAATTTACAAGGTATTTTGGATTGATCACAACGATCAAAACTTAGAATTAACAATGTTTTTAACCCAATGTTTTTAATTAGATTGCAGAAATCACTAATTTCGTTAGAAACACTTCTATTACACCTGATATTCAGTTAAGAAAATACTATTCACAATCCATTATGTTGCTTTTTATAGCGGCGCATTAAAAAGAACCGCAAAAAACATATGCAATTCGATTAGATAAAAATTACCTAGGTACTCACAATTAACACGCAGAAGCCCTTTAACTCGTAAATTCAAACTTATGCCCCATTTCTATATTCTTTTGAATAATTACATAAATGGAGTCTTCCGGTTTTACTGTTTGTAATAATTTTATCTGAATACTGGTGAACGAAGAATTTGTAAACGTTGTCGTTGAGCAACTTCCGCAAGGGTCGGTCGCGGGATGGGTGACCGGAAAGTGTTATCTCGAAGGCACGTCCCGGTCCCAGTTGCCAATACCGTCCGATCCGCATCGGTCCAGTGGGGGATGTACCCTGTGGGGGCGGACGATGTACCAGGCGGCCATGCGCTTGCAGGAGCTGAACGGATCGTGCGTGACGCGCGAGGCGCGCCGCGGGGCCGAGTACGACTACATGAAGCGCCACGGGGCCGAGTACAAGCGCGCGCAACTACGCGATGACACCAAACGCCACTTCACCGCGGAGCACTGCAGATTCGATCTACTCGTACACAGTCAGTATATTATATTATAGTAATTCAAATTCAATATATCTATTCAGAGCAGCAGGGCGATTCCGTAAAAATACGAATTCGAATTCATTTAGTGTAGAATTTCGATTGATTCAATTTTCTGTATAAAAATACAAAACAAAATTGATTGAATATACGTGTGTCAGATATTCTATTCACTTCATTTATGCTACGAAACGTTAATACCGATTCAAGATTGTTCGGATGCTGCTTTTGAAGTGAATTCGGAAACGGATTTTTACAGAATCGCAGGGCTGCTGGGTGAATGTCGAAAACTATGCGATAGGTTCGTCAGTCTACGGCGTGAGATCTTGTCCTGAAAAGAACCATCGAGAAACTCGGCGAGGGCCACTTTTTTTATCCCTGTTTTATTTCAAACAGAGAAGTCTTGGAAAGTGACTTCATTAGACTCACTTTCCATTACAATGGCTGCTTCTAAATTGGTGTGTCATTATTTTCGACAAACACTAGATAACACTATTTTGTACTATAATTATGTTTTTTATGACGTAAAATAGGGGGTCGGTAACCTTTTAAGCCGAAGAGCCAAAAATTGAAATTTAAATAATTTCATTTTTTTAAGTTGTTTTTTTTTAAAGAGCCGTAAAAACATCTTGCGACCAATAATTAGTAGTAATTTTTTGATAAAAAATTCATAATTTTATTTATAAGAACTACATAGTTTCTGTACTCAAATTCCAGTTGGCCTTAAAGAGTTGTGTTTTTTCACAATGAATTAGGTAATATATAGGAAGTAAATGATATTGCATATGGAACTAAAGAACCGCAGCTTCACATCCAAAGAGCTCCATCACAGCATGTGGCTCGCGAGCCGCAGGTTGCCGACCCCTGCACTAGCGCCATCTATTAATGGTCAAAACAAAACTATGATGACTTGCAGTCGTTATCATCTAGATAAAATATAAGATATTTTCTGAAATATATAATAGTCTCGATATACTGGATTTTCTGAATGACTTTATTAAAGCTAAATTATTTTACAATTTCCTCTAGAAATAATATTGAAAACTATGAGTCGAGTATTCCGTCGAACAATCGGGAGCCCTCAATTTTACAGGCCGTCATTTTGGCCGCTCCGAGCGATTGCCCACTTTGCCCCCCTGGATCGGGCCCTGGCAATCACTCTAACCATGCTAAAAACTAAATCTCCCATATATCCTCGGCGTAGAACTAAATTAACTTTACTCGTTTCTATTACAGAATACGGCTTGCCCGACGACAGCTTACTCGAGAAGCAAACTAAAAAAATGACTCTCACATCTCAACTGCTCGAAATCACACTGCGCGACGAAAACGGGAAAGCGTTCAAGAAAAAATTCCCATCCACCATGGCTGTGCAAAAACTGGTCACACTCGCCCAAAGGCTGTTCTCCAAAACTGGCAACACTGGCACACCCAAACTGTACCTGTTAGACGATCAAATGAAAGGTGCAGAGATACACCTCGACAACGTTATGAAGGATCTCGCTTATTATTCTGTTAAATCTGGCGACATAATCGTGGTCCGATTCAGATAATCTGATGTTTAAATAGAAGAATGGAGACATAAGTTGGTTTGCATTTTGATGACGATTAATTTTTATGGTTATTAGGAATCTAAAGACGTATCTATCACACTATTGAAGCTGAAATTGCCTATTGTTTTCTTGGCTTTGTGATAATGTTTAAAAAACAGTGTTGCCATTAAAAAAACGAATAAAATGTGCAATGATATTACAATAAAAAAAGGTAGATAAGCATACCAGTACTAATACGATATCAAATAAATATAAGGCAGAGCGTAGGCACTAAAGTCGAATTATCCGTTCTGTTGCTTACATAATCTTTGACAGACCTTTTTCACAATTTGTAACCGGAGTAAGACTTATTTATGTTTCTGATTAAAACGCAAATCAATAAAAAAATAAATATTACGAATGAAATGTGACCCCTCGGTCTTTAGGCGACTTATGTTGTTTCTACAGTTTCGCATAACAAAGGACGGCAATTTTAAAATGATTATGGTATAGAAACGCATACAATAAACGCTTTCGCCAGAGTATGCGCTCAGGTATGCTAATTAGCATAGTTTTAAGGTGACACTTTTTGAATTCAAGTAACATATCTACCCTTTTTACTGTAATATCATTGAAAATGTGCAAAAAAATTTAATGCAATCTCTTTATTTTATCATTTAATGATACTCAAATATATTTATTGAATTGTTAATTTTATTTTGGATATGTATATATGTATGTTAATGATAAAATTGAAAATTCCTAATGACCATGGCTGACGTTCAAACCGATTACGTATATGATAACGTCGCGTCCGTACCTGTATTTATTGCGAATATTATTTTCAAAATAAAAAGTCCACTATGTATTTTTATTTGTTTGTTTTATTTGAAAGTTAAAGAAGAACTGTGAGTATTGGTTTCTTATATTTTCACGCGCACTATCCATAAATGAAACAATCTTTAAACGGTTTCATCGCGTTTGTAATTAGTTTTATGACATTTCGCTTGTAAGAGTTTCGAAATGTCATTAAACTAATTACAAACGTGATGAAACCTTTTAAAGGTTGTTTTATATTTAAATACTGAAAAGTTTGTATGTGTCGAGTATCAACAAAAATTTTATTACTATCATCAGTTTAAATAATATTGGAAGTAACATACAATAGATGAGTCTCACTGATGTACCTGCGCTTAAGGATGCATTTCGCGGCTAATATCGACCAATCATAAAAAGGTTAGAATAATAACGTACTAACATTAGTACTAGGACCGCGCGTGCCAGATATCACATAGACGTAAAACTTCACCTATTCAGCTCACAAAGAGAGCGATGCTACCATTGGCTACAAAAGTTTCAGTAAGATTAGTGTATATTAGCCTATTAATACAGGTGATTTTACAGTAATACACAAAATGTAAGGCTAGCTATAATAAAAATCTGCACAATTACTTTTGTTAGTTTTAAATAATTTATTTTGTGCGCGGATATTAAATTAGTTAATGTGCAAACATTTTAAATACATGTTTTATTACATAAAAATGTTATTTCACGACGTATCTGCATTAAAACAATTTTTCAAAATATAATGCAAAGAATTTTACGCTTCTGTCAACACTGAAATAGTGAAGTGCCCTGTGATTCACAATTTGATATCGATAATCAGAAAATCATTAATATATTGGGTTAATATAATAAAATAATTTATTAATTTGTCATTTCGCAACTGCCACGAAAAAAAATCCAATAAAATAAATACCATATGTATGTGATCACTTCACAATGTATGTAATCAATCTTCACTTGAAACGGCTCGATCAATTAGACCAATTCCTATCTTGCTAAAGTAGTAATGTAACTGCGATTTTTGTCAGTTTTAATCAGAAGTAGGTTAGTAGAATCGGAGTCACATATCAAGGGCAAATGACAGTGATGTCAATTTGGCACTTTGCGGGCTAGATTTTTATAATTTTAAATTAGCTTTTTTTTCTATTAAAAAGCATAGTTTTATTTTTTGATACCTAGTTATATTTTTTTTGTATATTTAATCATAATTATTATTTTTACTAACTTTGTATTATATGAAGCACAATATATTAAGAATGGAAAATAATGAACTAAGAAGTCTCATTGAAACTATATTTCAATAATATCCCAATATAACAGTTTAATTTGACAATATAATCAGAAAATTAGATGTAATACATAATATTTCATCCCAAATATGAAAGTAATTTATCAATTATTTTATTCATCATTTAATATTAATATAATCATTTTCAGAAAAATGTGTTAAACAAATGCAACTAGTTTTAAAGGAAACCATTGACCATTTCTACCACTTGCGTCAATCCACTTTTCTTTTATGTCGGGGTTTCTAGGAAAACTGAAACATACAAATCTTTTAAAAATTACTGTTAACTATTTATCTTAATAAAAGTTTGCTTTAATGTTATAATTGCATGTAAATTGATTGCCATTCAAAATATTAGGGTTACGTACTATCGATAACGTTTTATCGATATCTGCAAGCACTATGTTAATAACTAATGCATGCGTTGCGAAACTGGACGTTAACACGTGCAACTGCTAGCAAACTTAATGCAATGAATCTTAAGTAGTTTCATGCTATTAGGGGCCATCCATAAATTACGTCACACGTTAGGAGGGGGGGGGGGGGTCGACGAACTGCGACATTAGAACAATATTTAGTAGAATTTGTATAGATAAACATGTGACAGGGGGGGGGGGGTTCAAAACCATGAATTTTGTGTGACGTAATTTATGGACGGCCCCTAAGTGTAAATTCGTCTTTACTGTAAAAGGATGCTCACGATTTGACGGTGACATATTCTACGTCGCAGACAACTAATGAGTTTAATAACAGCCATACAATTCTGATTGTATGGCTGTTTTAACCAGTTGGCTGTTACGAGGAGGTAACAGGTAAAGGTATTTAAAACAAAGAAAGCACAAAAAAAAGCACCTCCACTAGATGGCGGCTCTAGCAAAAGTAGATTTTTGCAGAAAACGAATGGACCAAAGATAGTCATTTCCGTTCCTTTTAAGTAATATTATAAAATGTTCCAAACTTAGATATTAATACGAAGCAAATAAATACGATAAAGTACAAATAGATTATGAGTTGTTTATTGAGTTTTCAATATTAATTTATCATGAATAAATCAAGAACGTACACTAGCGACATCTAATTTGATTTCGGGAACTATTTTTTTTAATACTTCCTCATTGGACGGTTCTTCCTATAGTTGAATAGCGCTATTCAATGACATGGGGGGTATGTTCCGATATACACTGCGAGTACTGCGCAGTGGTCTTACTGCTGAAAAATCCGTTCCGTTATGGACTGCCAGTACACTGCTACAGTACCCTAGGGAAATTTATGACGTCATGAATTGCCGCCATATTTGTACTGTGAGCACTGGAGATTTCGAGGTAAGGTGCTTCCAGTGCTTTTGACCACGTGATCAGTCGAAACAGATAAAATACTTAAGTTTATTATAAGATGGATTTAATTGATAAATATTTTTTTTATACAATTTTCCAATTTTATAATATTTTCTTTTGAAAAGAGGGAATCTATATTTATATTCACCTTGCATTAACAAATTTGAAAATGGCGCCAAAAAATAGGATTAACAGTATACTGGACTGCGTTCCGTTTTAAAAAGTCACCAGTATAACTAGCTATAAAGGAACGGGCTTCCAATATACTAAATTGACGTCATACTGCTCAGTGGTCGCAGTGTATATCGGAACATACCCATGGTAGTTTTCTAGTCAACAGTACGTCTCATTTAAAAACCCGAATGCGAGTGCACCCGGAACCGGGTACCCGGGTAGAAAACTCAATCTACTGCTAGAAAACACATCGCTACTGCACCTAGTCCTGGACGTTGATATTTTTTATTTATTTAATTGCCTTTTTATCTATATACTAGCTCGTACTGCACTTTAAAGACCAATAAACCTGTATTTTTCTTTAATGATATCTTTTCGAACAAGGCCTACCATGACTCTGAAATGTAAACAAGAAACACATGTGACCTTACTCTTGAAGTAACATTGAATAACAAAAGTGATAGAGCAGATTGTAATCAAATAAGTTATGAATTTGACACAGGTGAATAAAAATGATTTCGCGCGTAAGCAAATAAAATGGCGTTTAAAATTTGGTACCTACATACATTAAAAGTATGTAGGTCATACAGCCAAAATTTATTACATAGGTTCGTGTAGAATATAATAAATCTATGGGTAGTACGAAATGAAAATAATTTCTATTGAAGGTGAAGCTATAAAATAGTTCGAATACTGTGTCAATGAGAACAGAGTGGTTTATGATACTGGCCACATCGCTATTGGTAACCGTTGTGTCAACAAATAGTTTTTTTGTTTACGAACGTCGCCTGGCGAGAAATTCAAAGTTGCTCCTGGAAATTTGTGATGTGAAAAGTGATTATTTGTTACAATTTGTGCGTGACAAGTTTATCGTGATGGGTAATTGTTGGGGTGGCGTTTTTCACCGGCGTAGGTCGCGGCGACATATAGTTTTATTGCTAATAGGTTTAGACAACGCGGGTAAAACTAAAACTGCGAATAATCTAGCCGGGGAGATCGATGATAAAGTTTTGCCCACTGTTGGGTTTAAAGCTGTGAATTTAGTACACAAGGACACTCCTGTGACGATATACGATTTAGGTGGTGGGCCAAATTTTAGACAAATCTGGTCTCAGTACTACAGCGAGGTGCACGGCGTAATATTCGTTATCGATTCTAGCGATTTTTCACGCCTGGACGAGTGCAGAATGGTTTTAGAGGAGGTTTTATCACACGATAAAATATCAGGTACGATCATTTTTTTCGTTATGGATTTATTGTCATAGTAACCTCTTTATGGTACATACAACAGCACGTCAGGTGCCTAGAAAATGTCGAATTAGTTACTACAATTTACTTGGAATTTCAATTATTTGTGGATTCCAGTCTGTGAATTTTTTAACAGTATCGTATGAGGTGTGTGACCTTAATTATGGTTATCATTACTTTATAATTAGAACGTTTTATTCAAATCATTTTTCCTTTTAATTAAATCACTTTGATATTATATGGAATGGTGTAGGTGGGTGTGTAAAATCACTAATTAGTCCGATAGACATTATTTTCTAGCGTGCGACACTTATAGTAAAAGTAACGTCACATCTATCAGAATGCGAGGTGGCGAAAGTAATGAATTTTAGAATTATTTGTATGAAAACTTGAGTCATGCATGGCACACGTGTACTCTCAGAATCCTCCGGATTCTAATGTCACCTATCAATCATTGGTGAGGTGTAAAGAAAATTCGTTTCGTACGCCTCCTTCAGCTCCGATAGATGCATGTGTACTATTAGGCTGCATTCAAACCGAACTGATATTTAACCGCTGAGTGTGAGTGAGCGACATACTTACAAAATTATCTCTTCATTCCCACCAAACTGAAAACACGTAACGACAACACTATATCGTCGTTTGCCGTGAACATACCCTGAATACTTTCGGTGCATATCTAACTAAAGATCTTTGAAGCGTCTCTCGTTAGTACACGACACATCATCCGTCGAGTGTACAAGGAGGAATGTTATAGGTTCATCATATTTGTCAGGTCAGTTCTGTTCAGGGGGCCAATTCTACTAAATAAATTTTGTTTAAATGGAATCGAAAACGGATCGAAACCGAACGAAACTACAGTTTTTAATGGTTTTTCCAGTTCTATTTTAGCTGGAATAGTGGCATACGATACAATTCCAGTTCTATTTTAGCTGGAATTGTATCGTATGTCAATTAGTAGAATAGGAAAACCATTAAAAACTGTAGTTTCGTTCGGTTTCGATTCGATTTAACCAAAATTTATTTAGTAGAATTGGCCCCCTGATGTTCCGCGACCGACAATTACGCAACGCATATTCATTATTCATTAACAACATATACATACATATATACATACACATATAGGTATATATAAATATATTTCGTCAGATATGCACCGATCCTTACGTTTTGCTGACGTCATAACTGTGTATATTGCTTGGGAACCTAATTTAATTACTAAGTATAATTGCCATACAACGAAGGCAAGCACTCGTTAGCGCACTTCTACCGCACTGGGGTGAACGAGCGTTAATATATAACTCCATAGCCGAGTGGCTCGCATACCAGTTTCAAGGTGTCGCCATTCCCGAGATTCCAGGTTCGAGGTCCGGTCGGATTATTGTGGTACTTCCGCCGTTTCAGAATTCAGATACTCTAAAATACGATGTCTTCAGTATTTCTCTTCAAATCTGCTTAATGTAGGTATAGAGCTAATAAAAATATAACTAATACCTAACCTAAAGCCGCGCGCTAACAGACATTTTATTATACAGGCGAAAAAAATATTTAATCAGACAAAATATAGCGCCCTCCTAACCTTAAATGTTAAGTGTGTTGACGAGAACGACGAGACTGGTGAATTCCTTAAAAAAATATTGTTTTCTAACCGTGAGTTTGCAAGATTTAGTTTATTTTGTGTAGGTAATTCTTTTTCAGTAACAATGATATATTCGGTGATGGAATAGACTTATCAGCTTTTCCCCTAGATTTTAAAATTAGGATTTCAATTGTTTCGCAACATAGGTAAGTATGACGGCTAACCGGCTCAAGTGCCGCCTCATTCATATTTTTAAATATTTACAAATAAAATTATGCTTTATGCAAAACATAAAAAATATTATCGATTTGAGCTGAAAGTCATAAATTTATTATGTTTCGTTTTCTATTCCAATTGAATATTATCGATAGAAAAATATCCAACTAAAAATAACTATCATCAAAAATCTGGATAGCATAATGGCACACGCCGTGCGTACGTCCGACGCGTCGGCGTCAGACACGGCGTCGAACCATCGCCAGCTCCTGAAGGAACACATCTTCACATTCTATCTTAATCCACTATTCATCGGATGCAAGTATATGCTCAGCTCTAAGCCTGGCAAACAAACTGTCTCGTACACCCCGTAGCCTGCTAAATAGTATTTTGTTTATAATATTTTTAATTATATGTACGCTCAGGTAAACCAGTGCTGGTGCTAGCAAACAAACAAGACAAGACTGGTGCTCTAGACGACATCGATGTTGTAGAGAAGCTTAACATTGAACCGTTGGTAAACAAGTAAGTATGTAATGAAATTTTAACAAATATAGGAATGCATAGTACTCTTAATCTTATTATTGATAATAAAACATTAATTCCAGATACAGATGTCCCACCCTAGTCGAATCTTACACTGCCCAAGTTATGAATAAGACTAAAAAGCCAAAAATCGACCCGGGTCTTCGTAAAGGATATCAATGGTTGCTAAACTACATCGTGAAGCGTTACGGTGACATCAATTTACGCGTGCAAACAGACATACACGCCGATCTAGAAAGACGGAAGCGGATGATGAATAAGGCTTCCAATAGAGCTTCTCAAACATTCACAGCCGTCAGCGATGATATAGCAACGCAGACCGGCTTCGAGAACCCTAACTTTGATCCTAAAGTCATATCGGAAAGGGAGAAAGAATTAGAGCGAGGGGTCATCGTAGTTAAACCGATAACGACAAGTGTCGACACCACTATGACAATAGAAAGCGTCGATACAGACAATACTAGTGCCAAACCCAAGTTATCCCCACTATTCGGTAGAGCCAGCAATAGCTCCACAGTCACAGAGACAGTCAAAATAGAGCTGGAGGCCAGAAACGAATTTAGAAAACTATCCCCCATCGTGAGGCATAAGAACGGGAGTCAAAATAATAATATAGACTTTGGCAATCGTCCGCAGTCAAGCCCCACTTTTAAGAATAAGGTAAGATTTCTTCTAATGGAGCAGGTGTGTTTTCAGAGCAGCGTTCATTGTGAATTTGTGACTATACACAGAACACAGAAAAGACGTATGGCATATGCTATGGCATTACATAGCATTTGCGCTTCCATCATAAATTACCTCATAAGATGACGAGTTCACATGGACTGGATCCTGTTTCTGATGGAGCCTGCTTCACGTGGCTGCATACACTAGTTTACTAATTCTAGTACTTACTCGTTTCGGTTAACATGAATTTGTGTAAAGATATTTTGGGACTATACATTTACCTAATATACATGAAAAGCTGTATAGGATCTCAGTTCTTTTAGTCCCTGGCGTTTTAATAGTATTATTATATATTAGCCTATGTTACTGCTAAAACAATAAAGGTTTCTACCGCCGTTTATTTACAAAGACCCCTATTACACTAGTAGTATTGGATAGTTGTTTTTCCGCAACTTCCTGCCTATATCATACGCGTGTAATGTAGTTTCCCGTAGGTGAAAGAATTGTTTATACCGGTCCGATACTTTTGGAGCGAAGTATTCAATGCTCTTACAATCAAATCTCTTTCCTTTTGAGTAAGGCACAATAAGGTTCTTTGAATTATTTCCTAGACTGATTCAAGTAAAACCTCTTCACTTCATGACGAAGAAGTGAAGGAGGTGCACGAGTACGTGAGGTACACAGACGGACGTCAAACGTGGGACGGTGGACTGGAGCGGAAGCATCGTGTACTGGTCAACGACGTGGAACTGTCACATATGCACAGGGAAATTGTATTGACTGATCGAGGTGAGTTTTATAATCACTTCGATGTCTGGTAGCATATCTAACCGAGCGGAACGAGGCGAACATAATGAATTTTCTCTTTTATATCACTCATAAGAATGACGGGTGACGAGAATTCTGAGGATTCGCCGAGTGCTTTGTCTGTGTGACGTTTTTTCTTTCGCCTACTTTGGCGCGTTCTATTCGATTAAATGTGTATTAAAAATACCTTTAAATATAAAAGCATTTTTAACGAATTCAAAAAAGGGTAGCTTCTCTTTGTTTTAAATAGAAATGACTTTCTAATAAAAAAAATAATAATAATAATACTTATCTTAAAAGCGGTTAAATTATCAAGAAACTTGAAATCGGGCGGTTAATTTTTAATATACTACAGAATACCCCAGCTCAAAGTCAATGGCTGTTGAAAAATTTAACCGCTTTTAAGATAAGTATTATTTTTCGCTTTTTTTAAATTTGAAGACTTTTCTATTTTTTCATAGAACAAGTCGTGTTTGTATATTACATATGGTTATCAAGAATAAAATTTATATTTTTGAATTTATTAGTAAACTTCAATATTTGTGCATACAAACTTAAGTCATACATACGTCATCGAGTCAACTAGTGATCGGAGTAAGTAAATTCAATGGTGATTGATTATATTATTAAAAAAAAATCCAAAGAAGCAAAAGCAATTAAAGAAAAATTTCCAGAAAAAGTTTTAATTGCAAAGATTAAAATAGCGCAAGTAAGCACAACTTCACCAGAATAATAATAATAGGTATTTCATGACCTAATTGTATGTAGCACAACCTCACCACAATCATATACAACAATATTCATTCGAATCCGGTAACGTCTCGACGACGTTACTCTGTCACTGAGCATTCACGATTCACTACCGAAAAGCTGCTCCGATTGCTTCAATAAGACGTATCGAGAATGGGCTCAGAAGTGGAAAGTAATACTTGTGCAGCGGAGTTGGGCAGCAAGACGGCCTCGTCGGAGGTGATCCTGCAGGCGTCGACGCTGCCGTCGACGCTGCATCCGCCGCTGAGCGCGCGCCCCGCCTCCGCCTCGCGCCTGCTGCGCCGGCAGCTGGAGCTGCCCGCCACGCACAAGCGGAGGTTGAGTCTCAGATGTCAGTATCGAGTACGACATATATATTGTGCATTATAAAATGATGAGTTAACAATAAAATGCTGTCGATGACACTATTACTTTGAAAGTGACGTGAAACGGTAGATTAATTTAAAAAGTGCCAGTTACTCGTGAAAACGCTGGAATAGTTAAAATCCGAATAACACCCCATAATGTAAAATAGTATAAGGCAAAGCGCGTAAGTTTAACCGAAAACGAGTCCCTGCGCAGATTGCGGTCTCTGGTTTAATTCGTTGCTGTAGTTCCGCCCTGCGTCTCACCCCCGCACCTCGATTAGGACCCGACAATGCGCTCCTGCGCAGTCGTCTTATTGGTTCGACTTACATGTCCCACATTCGCATTAGACTCGATGTAAAGTTAATCAAAGTATGATAAGCGGGGATTAATTTACTACCTGCCTCCTCGTTACTCGACCTCGTCACTGTAAGGCGAGCATGTCTGGTTAGTGAAGGGTCAATGCATTCATTACACATACAGGCAGGCAGTCCTCGTACTTACGGCATGTCAGGTTCTCTAATACGCGATATAAAATGAAACGACGAAAGTCGAGACATATATTTTTATCATATGTTTACATAACATTTTTCATATGTATAACAAAATATACATACTTTATTATCAAAAAAGTAAATAATTAAACTTAAAATAATTATAAATGTACTGCTAGTTACATTTATAATTATTTTAAGTTTAATATGAAATTGCTAGTTATTTTTTGGTATTTCAATAATAATAAAAACTTTAATAATCAAAATATGCAATGAGAAATAATAAATTAAACTTTTAGCTTAAAGAAACTATCAGGTCTCGATTGCTTCGCTTCTTTTTTCTTGCTATCGCCTATCATGCAGGCATTCGTAAAACTGATAGGCTGCACAAATGTTGTAATTAACATTAAACGTAAGTGAATTCTCCTATGTCGAAAATCGAAACAATCGACGTATGTTTGAGGAACAGTGTCAAAACTTTGTTTGACGTAACTTGAAACGACGTAAGTCGAGGGCTGCCTGTACCTATAAGTAACGAGGTACCCGTTTATTGAATTCCCCGCTTTAGTTGTTAACTTGTTTGTCGTAGACGTGCACCGAAACAAGACCAGTCCGGAGCGTATTTCCATGATGGTATACGAGCCCAAGGCGCCGCAGCGGCATCTGGACAAAGGAGACTTCGAGCACACCGCCGTTAATTAGGACAGGTACATACATGCTGCCGACACTCTACTGCAGTGTCGGATAAGCCACGTAGCAAACGGTAGCAAATGCTACGGACTCTAGGCTATCGGACAACTTTCTAAAAAGTATTTTATATTAATCATTATGGGCCCTTATTCCCACAAAAAATAATATCATGTCAATAAACCACATTGTGTACCGATAACTGTGTTTATAATTTAACTGTTTAAAAAACCGAAATTGAAAAAGAAATAATAATTAGGATTATTTTACAGAAAGTTTTCCGCGCTTTTCCTAGACTTTTTACTAGCAATTAACCCACAAATGACGTCACGCGCTCTGATTGGTGTTTCTTTTGACGTAAGACACAGACTATTATTTTTTTAAGTCAGTGTTAAAAAAAGCAAGAAATAAAATGGGCCACAGCTCTGAATAAACTGACAAATAAAACTAAATAAAGTCACTGATTAGTTGTAATTGAAAAAGTTTATTGAACATATATTTAAGGAAAATATCATTCATATATTAAGTTAAAATCGAAAAAAATAATAATTTAAAATTACCCGCTAAACGCCACTTCTATCATGGCGTCCCGGTCTAAAAACTAATATCGTTCTATATATGCACGAAGTTGAATACTCTTAAGTTCTGATATGAGTAAGAGGGGCGTGACGTCACGCGCTGTATGCTTTAGCATAAAATATTTGTTTTTTCATAGTTATCTTAAGAAAGTGTGATTATAGGTAATAGTGTATTATACACAACCAGATAAACAATAATATGTATTTTATTTTCGTTTACTGTCTACACCCGTAGCGTGTTTTTGTTATTCGGAATGTGTTAAAGCAAAGGAAGAATTCTGTTTCGTTGGCAAAGTTACTGATTCCGGTTATTAGTCATCTTCATCACAAATGATATATTGGGTGAAGGTGGAAGAATGCGCACAATATTTTGAATAGCCATAACCATAACGTACCATTATTTTGTTGTTAAACCTCAAAAAAACAAGATGGCGCGTGCGCGTGAATGTGAGTATCACATTGTAAGTTAAATGTGTCTGAAGTAACCGTTGATATAACTTAGGGGAATGATATTAATGACAATGAAAGTTTAAAACTGCATATTAACAAAGGGGGTCGAAAAATTTGCTACAGACCCCGCTCTGGTTTAATCCGGCACTGTAGTAAACTACTATATGACTTGTGTACTCATTCTATATCCTTCACGGGGCCTACCGAGACGTTTGTATTAAAGAAAATTATTATTTGTTTCAGATGCCATTACAAAATTGTAGGCATGCACGGCGCATTGAAAAGAGTAGTTGATTTGTGATTTTTTTTTATTGATAGTGTACATAGGAATTGTACTTTTTGTTTTAATTAAGTAAATTTATATTGTAACAACTGTTGATTAATTGTAACAGGGTAAAGTATATATTTTCCAGAATATAATTATAACTAACTGAAATATTATAATTAATTATATGTTGTAATATTAATAGGTCAACTAGTTAATAGTTTAATAGTGAAATTAAATAGGTGAAAATAATAATGATTCAATAGTTGATTGGTGCATTTTATAATTGTAGTCTGTGGATATAAACAGGTTTAAGGATATCTGCCATTGGTAGCAGGCAGCGGTTAGTGTGGAGTAATATCACCAATGTCAATCCAACCGTTTTTTAGATGACAGAAAATTATAGTTAATTTACAGTAAAAGACTTTATAAACTGTTATTATTTACTATTTATTTAAATTAAATAAAAATTAAATATAGGTATCTTATCATCTTTGTAAATCGTTAGTAGTAAATATTTTATACCTATAGGTAACTCAGAAACGCTGTTGTCACAGTACCCAATGAAGGACAATAAAACTAAAAAAAAAATATGTTGAAAGCGGTGAAATGACTCTTAATGAAGAGTTGCCTAGATATGTCTGGCGGGTGCACACGAGATAGTAAGGCGTTCTATTATCTATTGATCAAGTTTCGAACGACGTCAGTTTAGGAAGAATTCAATTAAGAGGGCGCGTGCTAATTCACTAATTTTCGACTGACTTTGTACAATGAACTAATGTCCAAATCAATTCTAATTGTAAAATTAAACTTGCCCATAAAAATTTCTTTTTGTAATTAAATCCATTATTTATAAAAAACATGAGTCACTTAGTGGCAATAATAATAGTTTTCAAGTAAGTAATTAAAAACCGTTTTGGCAGGCAATTTGCCATTATCCGTCCCTATTTCATTGTCGGGTTTTTGACTTTAGCCCCCTTTTTATACAGTTTCGCACTGTAGTTTGTGATCACTATTGGATTGAATCAGAATGTCGCCTGCGTCTCGTGTGTTTTTCATGTTCAAATATCGCGGAGGTTTTCAATAATTATAACATGTAGATGTACTGATTATAAAAATGAATAATGTTATTAGTAAAAGAACGTTTAAATGATTAGATTGAATTACTTTTGTATTTTGTGTACCCAGCTGTAATAAAAACGTAACTTTTAATAAAAAAAATTAATGATTTTTTTGTAGTTTTTATTTATTTGAGAACTACTGATTATTATAATTAAGTCAACGTTACATTTATAATACAAGTCAATATTATTAATAAAACATGCTAACTGACAAATTTTTCAAGAAATTGTTACTTTTCTATTCGAACGAGCGTATTTACATCCACCCAAACAGCCGAGAGAAATATAATTATAGCAGCGCGTTAAAAAAAATATATATATACAAAGTTTGCTGCTATCAATCTCACGCATTTGAGTGGAAAAGAAAGAGGAGACCGATATATTTAAATTGGATTGTTTCTCAAGATTTAAAGGTAAGTGTGTAAAATAAAACTGTGCGTTACAGTTACAGTATAATTTATTATGCGTACAATTAATATTAACTGTATTATGGCAGTGTGTGCTTACAATAATACCAGGCAATAAACAGTTACGAACAATTCGCGCCGTTTTCACAATTATATAGACAATATTTACATTTTAAAATACCAGGTTATATACACCCATAGAATAAGCAATTTTTTTTTTTTAAAGAAACTTACTAAATTTTATATATAGCAAGCTGTTTTCCGGCGATTTCGGTCGGTCCAGTAGATTTGGAGCCTATTCAAGTGTAACTTTCCTCATTTATAGAGAAAAGGCAATTCATTTCCCTATCTTAACAAGGATGTCACTTTGCAAATCGTATTTTAAAGCGTAAATAAAGTCTAAAATAGGCATCAGTTTAATATTTCTTAATACATCTTAAAATAATAGATATGGCAAAAACGATCATATTCACCATAAAAATAAGCTTTTGAGGCTTAACATATTTGAAGGTACACAAATACAATATGCGAACTTATTTTTAAGAGAGAAATAATACATTAGAACCAAATAACTGTTATAATATCTTTGATAACTTTACATGTATACCTAACTGTAACAGCGGCACCTTAGGTAACCATCCAATATAAAGTTTTGCAATCTATTTAGAACTCTATATTAAATAATTACATATTAAATTTAACATCGCATAAGCTGTCTGATAATAACAAATTAATTGCAATTTTTTTAATAAACTTCTACATGCAAACATTGCATCATCTTATGAATACGTTGGAATGAAGAATTGAAACCAAAACAAATACTTCAATCATACAAAACAAACCCGTAAACGATAATATTTTACTGTGCCATTGGAATAAAATATGGTTAGAGTTGTTTTGTTACTTAGGACATGTATGACATGAATACGGCTGAGATCCAAACATTTATTAAATTATAAATAACAAAAACGACGAATATCTTGTAAGTATAAAATTTCAACTTATGCTATTTCGTTAAAATTTTTAAATAATCATGAAATCTCTAATTTTATAGTCATATCCATGTTAATATGAACGTATGTTGTCATCAACCTATACTCCATTCATTATAGCATTAGACTGAAGTTAAATAAGGTTATTTTTATGGTATACTTTGTGACAAAATATTAACAATCATGTTACTCTTAAGACTGACGGCTAATTTGCTACATATCCACTTAAATACTAGCTGCTATACTTAACAGTTGTCGTTTAAGCTACCTGTTAAACAAAATTATGAGTATTTGACTAACTTAAAAGATTTAATAACTTTTACAATAAAAAGTGTTCCTCTTAAAGAACCTAGAGAAGCAGGGTTGGATACTCTCGGCACGATTCTCATGTCAATATTACTCTACCAAGTTTAAAACGTTGCCTAATCCCTTCAATCGTTTCGGTAGCACAGCTTTTTAATTTTGTCAGATTATGATGTATTCATATTAGTCAAAATACGTAATCTGGGATTCTCATTAATTGTAAATTTTATTGCCTTTCTTGTTGTTTTATAGTATTCCGTGATTGAGTTGTTATTGTATTATTGTTGTTCTCTTATAGTTTTGTTTTAGTTGTAATCTTTTTCAAGTTGAGTTTTGCTAAATATGGATGATTTCGGTGCAAGTCCGAATGGCCTACAACAATTACCTCTGACATTTCAGGAAGTTTTTCTAATATATTAAACAATAATCTAATAATATCTGAATAAATGTTATAAAAGTAATAATAAAATTTTTATCTTGTTTACCTTTCTTTCCTGGGCATAAATATAACTAAATTCTATTCTAATTATACACTTACGATTAGAATTTATCAAAACAACAGATAGATAGTTATAGTTCCATATTGACTTGAGAGTAAAAGATGAATTTAGAAAATTCTAGCCTCATTGCAAAAGAAAATGGAAAATTGCCCAACTCTTTCAGACTACTTAACGTTCAAAGTTTCAACAAAACTATTATATATATTTTTAAAATTTATCTTATAAATAAAATGTTGTGCACTGCTGCTTCTGTGATCCTCTTTTTTCTAATGTTATAATGAATGGAGTTATAAAAAGTTATAACTATGCTGAGATCTTAGTACGAGTGCAATATGTCGATATGCGATATCCAAATAATTTATCATTCTTGATATTACCGTTAGGGGGCGCCGTAAGGAGGTCTCTACAATACGAGGTTACGTAGGGAATGCCATACCGGGATACCGTATGATCTTATAACATTCTCAGCTCGTAAATAGACCAGAATTGCGCGGGATTGGCGGGATCCAAATAAATTCTTTATACGTAGATTGATAAGGAAGAAAATCAACTATTTTGAGGTCAGCTAGATTAAACACAAACACAATGATGAGTCCAGTTTTACAAGTATCAAAGCATAATGAAAGCTTTCCGTTGCTAATCATACGCTTTAAAGTATTATGATTATATGAATAATCTTCCATTTGAAATAATAAGAATTTCGATTAATAAAGTTTATATTTAAAACGGAATTTGATTCAGTTAAATAATCTTCTATGTTATATCAATAATTATTTACAAAAGTAAATCCAATAAATACCTGGGAACTCGCGGAATTGATAATATTCTGTCCTGCCAAGGCATTTATAGGGAATAGCGTTCCCCTACTTCAACACATTAAATATTGAATTATCCTTAATCATCCATCAGGAAGGCCTGAGCCTGACCCCCTGCAGTGGGGTCAGTGGGGTGGTGGCAATGGTGAAATATCGAAGATCGACGTCAGAACTAATACTAAGTTCCCATATCACTCAGTACATAAATCTTATATTAATATATTACCAAGTCCAATGTACATTATAATATATTATTACAATACTCTAGCTATGTTGAGATCTATATATTATGTGCTTTTTGACATATTGCTATTTACCAGGGCTTGGAAACCGGTTTATTTTATTAACCGGTTCGACGTAAGTACATGCGAAACGTTACATAAAAGGTTCAGCTCCTTCGAACCGGTTTTTAAACCGGTTCACTAACCGGTTTAAATATGACTCCAGACAATGATCTCACAAACTTCAGCGCGGTTTTTAAGTGCCTAGACTCCTATCTATAACATCCGTACATAGGTATGGTAAATGTCGTCGCTTAAAAATGATATAATTCGCATCAAAAGTGTAAGAACATTGCTTTTTACGAACCAAGCGAATTAACCGGTTTTTATTCTATCCGAATTTCACTCCGCATTTAGTTCCGATCCGGAATGGAACATTATAATAGAACAGGTTTTACCTAAATAAAAACGGTTTATTCTGAACCGGTTTCAAGCCCTGCTATTTACACGTTGTAAAATGAAAACTTAAGAAATGCAGAAAATAGTAAATTTTTCAAGTCGAGTATTGAATTATAGGAATCATGAAACTTAATGTATAGGATAATTTGTATAACAAAATGTACTTACTAATAATAAGTTACTTATACATTGCAGAACAAATCAGACTGCCGCATCTAAAATTTGAACATAGATCTTCCACTACTGAATCTGTTGTAATCATTGAGCTGTCGTGTTATTGGTTTTAATAAAAGTACTTTTTCGATACAAATTAATGAATTTGATAAAAATTTGTACTGATGGCAAGTGTCGGCAATAGTGAGGCGCTCTATAGTTAGAGAAAAATTTAAACTCAGATATTGGATGTCGCAGTCAAATTGTATTTTCACATAACTTGAGCATTATTGGTTTGAAAACTTAAAATAAATAAAAAAATAGGATGATTTAAAATTATACTACAAAGACTTTAGAGGGCCATAATAAATTATATTTAGTAATAAATAGATGTACAGATAGACCTATCTCTTACTTTATTTTATTTTTGCCTAAGCAAATCAAAGAGTAATAAAAACAGTTAATTTGCCAATCCGAATGTTTTTTAATTTTAATAGTTTCGCACTACGTATCTCTCAGTGTGGTAGGTTTTAGATTCTTAAACCTCTTTTCTTGTCTTAAACCTCACCATGTATCATTGCTCAAAGAACATAATCATACGAGTAACATGTTATATACAAACGCATTTTGTCCATCTTTTTACGAGAGTAAAAGTATAGGTAAAATTGTATAAATGCGTATTATCTATGAGAAATACAACCCAAAATGTACATATAAAAAAAATCTAATAAATTTAACTAGCTAGATTTAAGAAATAAACGCAGATCCATATCAAAGCCTCATTAATTACATTTATCCCTATATAATTAGGATACACTCATTACTTTTAATTGGTTTACAATAAAGTTTTTATAAAAACCTACTTTAACGATCTCATGTAAAATGGATACATTTTTTATCGTATATATTTACAATAGCCTGTGCCGTAGCCATGAATTATCTAGAGCTTTGTCTTATAGAAGAATCATCATCCGCAAAGCTTGCTCTGTTTCTTCTTTCACACCGTTTCTGGTGTTGCCTAATGAAAGCGCTGAGGCGATTCAGCAGAAACTGCTTATCGTGCCCTTCTAAAACTAACTGGTTCTTCAGTACTGCCACCATATGCCTATTCGCAGCGGCCACCGCCCAATAATAATACAAAAACAACAAGAGCACCGCAAAAGCCGGCACAGCGAACACCGAAGTGCCCAAAAGGAACACAGATTCCCTTAAAATGTACGGGAACCTATCGAAGGTCTCTATTACGTAGTTCCAGACTGTAGAGTACCCTCTGAAAGGTCCACATTTGATAGACGGTAGAAGTTCAGCTACGGAATATGCTACGGGCGCGATAGATACCACGAATCCTAATAAGAGCACCGACATGAACAGAGATTTAGATTTAGACGCTTTATACACAACCGGAGAAGGTGTGCAGTTGATTAAACATGTGAACTTTTTAATATAAAATATAAGGAAGTAGTATAAAGTCCCGATGATCGGCAGGAAGGGGCAGAAGAACGAGCCCATCCATATTATAGTCTGGATGTATATGATATCGAGGACGTGCTTAGGCAAATAGAAATCTTGTTCGCCGATTATTTTCAAGCATCTACTGGACGAGTGACGCGCCACGAATGCCCTCGGCAAGTTTATAACGAAAGTGATCACGAATTGGAGGGCGAAATCCGTCAAGATCAATTTGTACAGCTGTTGGCCGAGGTATGTTTCCCAACATTCGATGCCGTTTGCTTCTTCATCGCCCCAGGAACAAGTTCGTTTGTTCGATGCTATAAACACGTATATTTGACTCAAGAGAACAGCCAACGAAGACAGTCTCAGTAGTACGGTTCTCAACAGTGTTACTATTATCACGCGAGCCGGAGCATAATTCTCGAAACCGATCAGATAGTTGAATACCTCTGGTACTATCAAATTTAACATCACTATACAAATGTAAGGTAGGAATTCTAAAAGAGTATTCTCTAGTTGCTCAAAAAAGGAACTGTCTCTACTACCTAAACCTTGGGTGTTTCTGTGCATCTTGAAATGACTAAACGCTAGTCTCTCTGAAGTCCTGTTAACATACCCCTTGTTTAAATCCCCAGGATCCGCGTTATCTACACCAGTTTGAGCGCTCAGTCTAACCAAGGAGTAATTATAAGAGATGTAGATCATAACTCCTGACGCGACCAAGATGATGAATACGATTGAATTTATCAACAATCTCCTCATGTGTAAGAGTATTTGGCTTTCCCTAGTTCTAAGTTGCTTTTCTTCTTTGAATCTTTCTTCTTCTAAGCAACCTTTGATTTCGTTAAACAGAGCTCTGTGTTTGATTTTAGCGGATTTTTCATTCTGTATGCAGAAATCCCAACCGCCGAACACCAAATTGCAGTACAAATAGAACTGGCCTTCGCTCTCCACCAATTTCTCTTTGAATCCTTTAGCTGCAGCTTTTACTATCGCGATTAATGATAGCAAAGCCCATGTTATGGGCACAAGTATGTAGGCTAAAGGCATATTATAATAGAACTGAGTCTCCCAAAAGCTTTTAATGAAGTAAGTATATATCTGATCGCTGTATACTCCGTAAAATAGTATAGTCCGCTCCATCCACCCAGTGCCTTGTATCACATCTAAAGCTAAATTAGATTCTGTAAGATTTCTACTTAAATATGAATATGAACAGCACACAGTCGAGTTACTTTCGTAATCCTCACAATCGTATGACGTTTCGACTAGAACAGTCTTTGGTAGAATTAGAAATATTATCACGAAGAGAGATATCACCAGGTTCAAGAACAGCAACCACCTCAGAAAGAGAAAGAAAGATACTACACCTGTGCCGAAGGTGCCTTCTATCTCCCTCAAGGGTGATTGCCACATTTCCAATTTGCCTAGAATCTCACCGAACCGTATACGGAAACGGTGCCAGACTTTTCTTTGTTGCCAATGTATGTGTTCCAAGCCTTGCAGACGCAATTTTGTTGCATTCTGTAATTAAAATACTTTAATATTAAAAAATGATATAATAATGAGTTATTTACGTAGGTAGGATATGTCATAGTATGGATATTTTAAAAATACAACCTTGGAATCTGAATTGTTAGTGTAAGTTTCTTAGATTAAATTTATAAATCTTTTCGAGAACGCGGATCCCGCAGTCATATCCATGTTAACACATCGCTTGTAACAACAAATTTTCAAAGTAAAAGATCAGATATAATAAGTACTATATCTTATATCTTGTGGAATAACGTTTTATTAAGTTTGAAGTATACCTGTAATTTTTCTTTGAGCTCTCTCTTTTGGTTCATAGGCACTGGCATCGCTTTTATCAGCATTATTTCTTCCCATGTTCTCTCTTCGTTTGATAGATTTTCTACAGACAAATGATTATAAATTAAACATGATCGTTACAATAACAGGATCTTAAATAAAAACCGTGAAAAATACATTAAATTGTTTCTGCCATATTAATTTGTAATTGTAATAATCCAGTGTAATGCATTTTCTTATTAAATATTGTGGAGTTTCTTGCGCTCATTTTCTTCTGCAGCTAAAACAAGTGCTAAACATTGCACTAAAAATTGAATCAAGTTCCAAGAATCAAATTTATTATTATGGTAGTAATGGTCAATACATTATTTTTTGTATTAAGTACCTGAGAGATCTGGCATCATAGATAGATGTATGTCCCTGCTCTGCGTTGTCCGCGCGTACGTTGACTGACGACGGTCATTTTGCGACCGAGCCCTTTTCACGGTCGTTGCTATAACAAGAATATAGATCACTTTGACATATTATGTCCCCATTGCTGGGATACAGCGCAGACCTTGTAGAACTATAATCCACCATGTGGTCTCATGATAATAAGGAGATGCTAACAACCATGACCAAAGCCTCAAAGTGTCAACCTTGTCAAATCGCAATTTTCGCCTTTTATGTCACAGCGAGTTCATCTCTTTGCAGAAGTTGAGACCAGGTGAGGTCTTTTTCGTGACGCGGGACTTACGGGCGTTATTCGCTAGATCCGTGAGATATATAGGTTGGCAAAAAGAGATATCTGGTACAAGCGGGGTAGCAGGGATCTACTAGCTTTGCACCGCTGGATCTTAAATGCGGGAGGAGATTTTTAGCACACGCAATTAGTCGAACCAGTTAGTAACCACTCAGTAATTATCTGCCTTATCTAGGAAGAGGCCTGGAAGTACACGATCTACCTCCGAGTACTGCGGGTACGAGTAAAGATTCCGCGAGAAAAGACTGGAGAGTCTTACAAAAGATGGAAGAAGTAATACAATTATCGCCTATTCAGCCATATATTGGTAATGGCTGAAAATTAAATATAAAAATTAAATCAAAAAATATTGTTAATGTAAAAGTAGTAAAAAGAAACCATTATAAATACACAATGATCAATCTACTATACGTGATTATACTATACACGAAAAATAAAAGAGGACCAAGAACACTGCCTTGTGGAAGTCTAATGTTTTTTACTTTTAATTCTGATTGATACTTTCGAGTTATGCCCTTTGAATCTAATTAAGTTATTTCAACAGATTGCATTCTATTTTGTAGATACATTTTGATCTAATTTAAAGCTGTACCTCTGATACCATTGTTATATATTTTTTTAGTAATTAATCATGAGAAACGAAATCGAATGTCTTTGATATATCAAGAGCTGTTGTATATTTGCTTTTGTCAATGCTTTGTAATATTTATACGGTTTTCGACTTAATGTTAATTAAAAGGCCACAAGTGTAGTAGACTTATTTTTTAAAGTCATTTTGATTATTCTTTAGCACATTATATCTATTAAAAAAAAAAGATGTGAATTCGTTATGTTTAACTTTTTCATATAGCTTTGATAAAATTGTTACTGCCATTAAATAAAATTATGGTGTCATCTGCAAATAACAGACACTTATGTTTCGTTGCATCAGGTAAATCGTTAATATAAAGAAGACAGAGTAATGGTCTTAGGACACTCCCTCGAGGAACTCCCTTTTAATGAGTCCATTATTTTATTTATTTCTACGATACCTATTTTTAAAGCAACTTCTGATAATGTTAAATGCTTAGAAGTAAAGCATTTGACTGTATCAGAAGTTGCTTTTTTTCGAACTTTCAAACTTCTGAAGTAGGATTTCATCGGAAACACAATCAAAGACTTTGCTCATATCTAGAAATTTGCTCATATCATTTTTATCTGAACATTCCATATTTTTTTTTACAAGTGGAAAACAGGCTTGAACAGTCGATTTTTTTTCCTAAATACAAATTGTTAACTCTGTTCAATCGAAAACTAAGATCAAAATAGCATAATTATCTTTACGTTTACCCGCTAATGCTTGTTTATTTTCATTCTTAGAAGCACCAGTAAGTGATGTGCATACAGTTCTCTAAATTCGAAAATAGATTACTCTGTAGATTTCGATGGATTTAAGTTTGCACTATTAAGGATGCCAACCAATATTATATCTATACTATTATTATAAAGAAGAAAACTTTGTTTGTATGTTTGTTTGATTGTAATTAATAGGCTTAAAAACCAGAGATGTGACTTATCTTAGATACAAGTATTTGAAATACAGATACAAGATACAAAAAACGTATTTTCATCTTGTATCTAAAATACTTTTTTTAGGAAGTATTTTGTATCTTGTATTTAAATATTTTTGTTTAGTATCTTAGTATCTTTTAAATACTTTTTCTGATAAAATACTTTATAAAAACATTATTTCTTACATTTTATAAATATCACAAAACATTCTTTGCCTAAAACATACATATTTACAAAAAGAAAGTGTTCAATTATCAACGCAATGAATATTTAGTTAAAAATTACTCGAATCCAAACATTGTTTGGTGTCATTTAACGCACACCCGTTATTGGTTTACGAAAAGGTTGCTGTTTGGTGGTCTAACGCGGATGTATTTCATCACAGCTTCTTACCAAACAGGACGAGCATTACTGCAGATTTACTGTGTCTATTATGAAGAACTGAACACAATGACGGAGAAGCTGGCACAACTCCAACCAGGTTTTGTCAATCGTTCGGTTCCACTGCTCCTGCACGACCACGTACGACCTCATACTACACAATAGGGATGATGACTGGGTAAAAAAAATGCAATTCTATTTAGTCCGTCAGTCAGATAATAGAAAAATATTAGATACGTAATTTTTTTTACTTCAAATTAACAAGAAATAGCTTAGATAACAGGCATTAAAGTTGAGGAGTGGGGGCTAGCTACGTCACAGTTGAGTAGAAAACGTACTCTAACGTGACGTCATACGAAATTTCAATTAAATGTAACGCCGTAATTTTATGATTACGAAAAAAATAAAAAAATACGTGTTTAATATTTTTTAACACTCTACCTGACGGACAAACAAACAAAAATTAGTCATCATCCCTATTGGCGGTACCCAAGCTACAAGAGCTGGGGTTTGAAGTTCTCCGTCATCCGCCGTACTTAACAGACCATGCGCCTACACACTTCTAATTCTTCCAGAATTTGGATGACGTCTTAGCGGGAAAAAAATAAATTCCCGAGAGACAGTACAAAATGCCTTTGAAGTATTTGTTGCCTCCCGTCCAGCTGATTTCTTCAAGAAGGCATCATTAAGCTACCAATGCGTTGGCAAAGATGTATTGATTGCATGGGTGATTACTTTGATTAATAGAAATAAGAAAATAAAGCTTAATTTATTTTATTAAAAACGGAAATTTCATAGATAAAGACTTAATTAATACTTCAAATCCGGTTGAGACCGGATTTATCCGATCAGATGGTAACTAATGGCGCATTACCAACAGTACCAGCAATACCAACTCTACGTCTTTTTAGGTACATCTACGTATTATAAGCCTTTCCTACAAACCAACGTACTATAATCAACCACAGAAGCTAAGTATTTTCTACTAAAAATTTTCAAATTAGCTTAACACACTAAAGGGGCATAATTTTCGGTAGTTCTGCAAAAAAAGTTAATATACGTTCCGTTACATACTATCGCACATTCACCTTGTTACAAGTCACGCCATTAATTTAAAAAAACCATTAAATATTGTGATGATGTATTAAATATTTGCATTTTTATATGTTACATTGTGATTGACAAACAAATAAAACGGAGGAAAAGTGGGTGAAATTAAGCTTGTAAGATTTGAGTACAAACACAGAAAACTAAATAAAAGCTTACAAAAATTGTTTCTAATGAAAAATGCTTAAAAAATCCACTTTGTCCCTGGAACCATCTGGTCTAAGATTTAGGTTTTTGTGGTCTTTAATAAACAAACTTAAATTCAATTTTTTTTTGGACTATATTTAAATGCATTTGTTAAATCTATGAGTAAGGTAACAGCGGACCACGCGGGCGAAGCCGCCGGCGAAAAGCTAGTCACATATATATTATTTTGGAATAAATGCTTCTCTAATAGAGGAACATCACATGATTGTAGCTTAATAAACATCTACTCACTGTTTCTCGCCTGCTTGGACGGCAGCAGTGTTGCTAGCTTCGCGGCATCAGCCCTTTGCAGGTGCTCGAACAGGTCTTGTTCGGCGCCGGGGTACAGTTCCTGGTAGAATTCCCCGCCCGCCTCCTCCCATCCCTCGTGCCGCTTAGAGCGGGCTTTGCCCTTCGAGTTACCGCCTGACATCGTTCACTGCATTTTACCTGGTAACAAAAAGGAATTCATTTGGTAAATAGAAAGATAAAGGAAAATCCATATATTTAATTTGCTAATGAAATGCAAGAAGTGGCCAGTAAAAGGTAGCTACTGCAACACTTAAGACGAATTTTTCATCAAGAAATCAACAATTACAATGGAATCGCCCCCAAAGTCTACCTGACACATGGGTGCACGTCAGACTACCAAAACATGTAAAATTTCCTCAATTCATTTTGAACTCTATCGACAATGGCTTAATATTTAATATATCAAGTATCAACTGAAGAAATTTGACAGATATGTTCCATGTGGAACTGTTCTTGTTCTTCACATCCTACCTGTATCATAAAAATTTATTCCTATACTTGTATACTTGTACAAAAGCCATAAAACCATTTAAAAATTGTTTCATTTATGGATAGTGCATGCCAAAAAATAAGAAATCAATATATTTTTTTATAAATCCTACCTAATTATACTTGATACGCATCAATGATTTTGATAAAAAAGATGTCAGTTTAACAAGAAGCGAGACTATGTTATAAGTTTCAGCTTTGTATGGGTTCTAAACAATGCTCAAGAAAATTTTCTATTCAACAGTGTAAAACTGTATAATCTATTGCATTTGGAAGGGAAACTCTAATATATACATAATGACAGAGGGAGAAAGTTTTTAATTAATTCTATGTAGTGAAAGAATATTAAGAAAGGAGTTTATCTAAAATATTTTGATGCAATAATTTAGAGAAAGTGCGCTTCACTTAAAAATGTGATTCATTAAAATACAAACAGGTGACCATCAGCCAACTGTAAGATTGTAAAGTATTTGTTTTAAAAATAATGATAAGAAGTTATATTACAGTGTTTTTATTTAATACTAGGTGTTAAAAGTAGCCTAAGTTACCTCTTACTGCACAAGCTATATGCCAGCGAACATCCGGTCAAAAAATTGGTCCAGCCGTTTCAGAGGTTAGTCGGAACAAACAGACGGACAGACAAAACAAACACGTAAAAATGTTATTTTTGTTTAAGTACAGTGAACATCTGTATTTAGTGAAAAGCGGTTATTTTTATTTTGCAATCAGACTCCAATGTTATGTATTTGTATAGATGAAAATAATCATAAATAGAATTATTTGAATTTTTATTAAACCATGTAAAATTACTAGTGATGAATAGTAGGTTAGTAGTTAAAAGAAGATAGAAGCAGTTAAACTATAGACTTGTTTTTAAACGAAATTAAGTGTTATGAATATTAATAATAAAACAGGAGTGACAGTTAATGAAATATTATTAATTACCATGGTTTAAAAAAGTAAGTTCGAAACGTGGTCTAGACTATGATGATCATTAAATAGGCTAATTAAAAATTAAGGGCAGAAATACAGTTATACTTGCCGTGTAAACAACGTAGATTCTTTTGTTTTCAGCACTGACATTTAGAAAATTTATATCCAACGATAGTAGTAGCACATTTTAAGACACAATTAACACATCATCTAACTATTTTTACGTTAATTATCTAGTAATTTATTTAAAATCTAAGAACAACCTACCAAAATAAAAGGTAAGGAGTGGTACTACGTTCCAAAACTTTAAATTCACTTGAAATTTCAAACGTCACAAAAATAATTTAACTCCATATAAAAAACAATTGTAGTTTCACTATGAAAATAATAGAAATTTAAATTTTCACGCATACTTACTGTGGGTTTCCTCGAATTCAAACTGTAGCATAATCTTAAAAATCATTGGATTCTAAAACCAGCCACTCATTTCAGTAGTTTCGGAACGTGTGTTCTCAATTACGAGATGAGAACTGTCATTCACTGTTTGATTCATTGTTTGCAATCGCATTGTTCTTCCGATGTTTCTCTCTCACATAGTTTGAATCTGTTACACGTATGGTTACACATGACAAAATGAAGTATCTAATATAAGCTTAGAAATAGATGCACTGATTACAATTTAGAATTTTAGTCTCAATGTTATTTATTGATCACTGACGACGTCGTATAACTAAAAACGATATAAAAACGTAATAATTTAAAAATAAATTTAGATTTTCCATCAGTCAATAATCTCATTTCGCGGTGGAAATGAAAAGTCATGGAGCCGACAAAAACACCGTCAATTCAATATCCGCAAGCAGATAAGAGCCGGCAAAAAAACAACCACCCGCCATTCGCGAAAACAATTTTCTGAGGAAATTTTCTCATGCAATATCCGGTTCAGTTCACCATTGGCTCTGTTTCGCGGCAATTTTCTTATCAACCAATCGGCAACGACCGCCACCGTTCTCACCCAATAGCCAGTCGTTTACGTGAACAACTATCCTGATTGGACCTATGCGATATCCGGTGTTTGATGCAGCTACATCCTGCGCGAAAAACCCGGGAACGGGCTGGAGTGTCTCTGGCACTTGCGCAGCATCCCTCCGAACGCCGCTCCAAGATCACATCTCACGAAAAGTAATGATTATTTCGGTCCATGGACGCTTAGTTCCACATACTCCCGCTGTGGCGCTGTATACGGGAGTAGGATGGCGATGTATGTACCTCGTTATAGACTGTTAAAACATATTATCAGTGCTGTAAATTGAAAAATTGCGGATGCGTTACCATAAGTGAATAAGGAGGAGTGGCCGCGTAGTGTCGTTTAGTTAAAATAGATCGGTGTCGGGAGGCGGCGGGCCTGTCGCGCAGTTAGCTTCGTGTGGTGTGCCGTCGTCCACCATTTGTGGAGCCGTTTTCCAGGGATGTGCGGGCGGGTCACATGTAGCCGCGACGCGCCTCTGGTCTCGGTGTACAAAGCGATGGTGCTATGAACGTTATATTCGAGCCATGCATTCGGCACGGCAGAGTATCGACCGCCGTCGTCCGTTGGAACCGGGCCATACTGCCAGTGCGTTGTGCGAGGTCGCGACCAAACGTGTTACGATAAACTGCCCGTTCGCGGCCTTCGATCAGTGCTAATCTGAACTATCGTAAACTTTTGTTATGAATCTTCCAGCCGATTACAACAAGAGTGTGCGCACACAAAATGCTCCAACTCTCAGCATCGGTAGCATCGACCGCTCGGGGCGGCCCCAATACCGTTATCTGAGACAGATATTGACATACTAATGGCGCTTGGAAAAGTCATCATCATATTAACCGTCGTCGCAGCCGCGGTAGGCGATCACTCACATGAAGTCGAAGCAGAAAATAAAGCGAAGAAAGCCGTGGCGGCGGAAAAAGAACAGAGGGCTCGCTCGGCGAGCAGGGGCTCCCTGCAGATGCTGAGCGAGCTCATGATGAACAGGACCTCTGAAGACAAAAGGAAGCCGCGCAGGGGCAAGAACTTGAACACGCTATTAAACGTGATAGCACCCCGAAGGACGGAAGGGATGATGAATGACAACGAAGGGTCGTACACGATGCATCAGAAAACTACCGCAGACAACGATTCTGATTCTCTGACGCAGAAGATGAAGGCGCTGCGCCACGGTGCGCCTACATACGAGGCCGTAAACAAGTACAGCCCGGTGTCGCAAGCTACAGGAGTGTTCTGCAACTTCGAAGTATTGACGAACGTTTCTCTAATAGACTTGTGCATGTGGCAGTGGAATAGTACTACATCCAGTCACGGTTTAGGATTCAGAGTGGCCACTGCAGAGGATATACAGATAATGAATGAGACCACGCGAGGCCTCAAGTTCTCCGGACCGAAGAACGATGCCGACGGCAATATTGGAGGTGAGACGTAGCGAACATGCATGTGATCTATATCGATAAGCTTTGTTGTTTCATTCGTTTTAACTTGTTTACTCCATGTTGTCGGTGTTGCATGTTAACTGCGCAACAAGCAATGGTCGTATAACGAAACGCCTACAACTGACCTCATTTTACGAGTCAAACTAATGTAAAATAATTAAAAAATAGTTCGGTTCAGCACGGCAGCGTCAATACAATAAAATCATGCTCAAATTATAATTGAAGAATTACCGAGACTACAATACTATATCGATTAGTAACATCCAAGTAACAGCAGTTAAAAATTGAAGAAAATGGCAATTTATTTATTTATTTCTGTTTTATATTGAATGGTAATTCGGCAACAACCGAACCTTTTTAAATGTCAAAGGTTGCTTAAACCTGTGGAGCTATCTCTACGAGCTTTCGAAATATCTTTCTTGATAAAACGGTTCTTACTGGATTTTATTTAGGAACTCTATTCATTTATTTATGCTATTTTTATTTTGTTTTTAAAAGACAAAAAGTAAAAACATTGTATGTTACATTTTCTCATTCTATAGTAAACCAATTCAAAACGAAACCTATTTTTTGAGTTATTGTTTCATAAAATAACCTTATGAGATAACTAGCTTTCACCAGCGGCTTCGCCTGCGTGTTTAGTGGGATAAAAAGTATCCTATTATCTAAGCCAGCTAATACCCTATCTGTATGCCAAATTTCATCAAAATCGGTAAAATAGTTTCGTCGTGATTGACCGATGAATATCCAAATATCCAAACAAAGAAACTTTCATATTTATAACATATTATTTTCAATAAAATATTTTGCTCAAATCTCGCCTTGGACAATTTGGTACAGTAACTCGCTGAAAGAACACACAGGGCTAATATGGTCACTAGTTCGAGTCCAGCCACGGACCTACTATGAAACCTGACATTTTACTTCTAATATTTTAATACTTTTATGGTTTATAAGTTCCATATTAGAACCTCATTGATATATCAATAACTTTTCGAGCGTTAATTAAATTAATTAATCTGCGTACTTTAAGTTTTACATGTAGCAAAGATAATACTTATAATGATTAAATATAGAGATAACAATGTTTCCTTTATCACGTTAAATCCATATATTACCTGGTTTGATACCAAAAAGACTTTTATTAGATATTAAGTTTAAAACATATTTTTTGAGAATTTACAACACAACATTGTATTGAATAAAATTTTCAAACATTTGTTTCTAATATAAATAGTATTCATTAGAATGTTCTAAAAGTTAATCGATTATGCTCTTTGCACCGAATGGCAAAATATAAATAATTAGTTACTAAATAAATATAAGACAACATTGCAATGTGCCATAATATGAGTGCCTAGTTACATTAAATTCAGAATATGTGCAATGTGTATCATACACATTTGTCCAATATTTATTTACTAATTTTAAAATATTTAATTAAAATGAAAATGATAGATCATTAACGCTTTTGTAAACTATGATAATACCTACAGTAATACTTTGATATTCTTAGTCCTGTTTTAAGATGGCCGCGTGTAAGTTAAACAAAAAGAAGGCAGCGAATGGCGACTCGTTTCATTGTTAAGAATGGAAGACTATTTCTGTAATAACCTGACTGGTGACAGCGAAGTACAAAGGTACTTTGACTCTAGCAGGACTGCAAGACATATTTCCTTCTGCAGAACTAAGTAAGATAAAGATAAAATTATCTATTTCGGTATAACAAAGAGTTCTTGCAGCTTGTTCCTTTTTTGCGTCTTGTAGTGAAATAGAATGAAAAGGTCTGGAGCACTCTCTGTCCTATAAAATGTGTATTTGATGGTTACATTTTTATTAGTCAATATAGCCCAATCACATATATCAGTCACTTAATGAGTGAATTATAGGATGTGTGTTTTATTGACATATATCATTCACTTAATGAGTGAATTATAGGATGTGTGTTGCATCAAGATTTTCGATTGTGTCAAACATACGATCAATCAAAACTATGGGCCATACTCACAGAACCACCTCAATACATTATTGTATTATATACTTAATGTAGGTAGGCGTTGTTAAGTTCTAGATTCTAGAGATGCGCCGATAGTGGTTTCACCGAATAACCGAATACCGCCGAATTATTCGGTTTTACCATACATCGAGAGTTTGGTGTTTCTGCGCCATAGTTTATCATTAAATAATTTTAAATATTAGAATACACACATATTCTAATATTCATGTGTTTCTTTTTGCTAATCTTTTATTTTATTTCTGGTATCTATTATTTTTTATAGAGCCTGTGTGTCTCTATTTATCTCTGTCATAGTGTCTATTTTTATTAAATTGCCTCTTGAGTGTATGTATTCATTAATAATTTAAAATGTTGATTTGATGTATAAAAATGAATGTTGACTAGGTGTAGTTTATAAGATAAATATATATTTAAGATTTTATAGCTATTCTTTGACTTTAAATATAACATAAATCTTACATAAAAAGTTTCGTCTTCTAATTCTATACCATGTTATGTAGCCAAGAAAATATGAATACCCGAACCGAATATATTCGGCACCAAAACCGAATAATTCGGCCGAATACAAATTATGAAATAAATATTTGGCGCATCCTTAATTATATTTAAGTGAATTTATGTCAGATGATTCATTGTTAGAGTGGAGTTAAGTTAGATGAAGTCGTAAACGAAGTCAAGATATAATGCGCCTGAGAGCTCCGTCGTTCCTGAACTATCGTGATCACTGTCTTGGCTCTATCGATAGTTCATCAATGATGCAGCATATGCCGTAATGAAGATACGTAGGTTAACTG